GGACTGTAGCCTGGCCGGTTTGAAGAGGTGGGCCAGGTCACAGTGAGGTCAGACACTTGCACACCTAGTGCGGTCAGCCAAGTGTGGAAGTCCGATGATTTCTCAACAACTGCTGGCTCTGTGAAATTCGCTCCAGTGTGGCCACATAAAAATCACAACGTTTGAGATGCTTAGACAGACTGAAGTGTACTCAGGACTCGGATCGTTAAGCGCAGTGTGAGCGCAGGCCAGCAGGAAAGTGGGGACGGGGTGCAAGGGAACCAAGCCTAGTGTGAACACAGTCTTTCACTTGGCTAGTCAGATATTTGTCGAGGTGTAATTTCATCGTCGTCTTGGACGCTGCAGTTTGTGACACCACTGAACTGCCTTCTCCACACACAGAGGTGTTTTTGGTATTTAGTATGCCCTCACTCATATTAACAGGGTTACAAAAATATAAGAAACACCCATCAGTGTTATGTAATCCATTCCCACAGCACAACAAACCTTCAGAGTGACCATAAACACCTGTCTGCACAACTGAACATTACTACCACGATGAAGAGAGGATTTACTGTACGACTGTTGTCTTACACTGCATTAGGTTTTAGCTGAGTGTACCTAATAAACTGTGTGAGCGCAGTTTTTTTCATCCTCGTCTGGGGATTGAATGGGTGACCTCAGAAGTCCTGACCCTGCTTCTCATCCGATCGTTTTGACCTGATTATTCAGCGGTTACGTAAGGCGGCTGGCTCTACGAGCTACTACAGCTGGTAACCTGCCTTCATTGCTAGGTCAAGAGTTGTTTCTAAAAGCTATTCAAGCCTGGAAAATAGATCACTCTGTGATTTGCCAGCTGCCGTGTCTGTGAGACAAAAACTTTACATGATTTTGATGAAGTGTAGTTGAATTACACAGTGGAGCAATGGGTTTTACATCTTCCTGCTGCTATCATTTTATTCCCTGCTGCATTCAAATTTAATTCAGTGTGTCACAGTGTTTGCACAGACTACCATTCATCCAGGAAAGCTGTGCTTTAGGGTTTAGGAAAATTGATCTTTTATTTTTGAGTTTATTGTGATATGAGGACAAAATCCACTCACCTCGCTGCAGAAAGACTTTGGCATGAGGCAGGGCGGGTCACAGGAGCTGTTGTCCTCTGGAGGGTTCATTGGAGGACAACCTCCTGTGAAAGAGACACCAGCATGAGATTGAGTACATTTTAATACGATCACACGAGCATAATCGCTTCGTCTCCACGTTTAGAACGTAACACTTGGGGTTATTTCACAGCATGTACTTTCATCTGCAATAATAACTCAGTAAATCCAATGTTTCCAGGTTTATTTTAAAAACAATTTTATGTGTTGATGTGTTAAACGGAGATGAAAAGCTGTACCGGCTTGCCATCGCCCACCACCTTAGATCAATATAGAAATAAGCGCCTAGGTTTTTTTTTTTTCTTCAGTTATATTTCTGACATTTTGTGTAAATTTTACCTCCTACATAAAATTGCCACCAATGGTTTAGGCTTACAGTTGAGCTTAAGAGCGGCTGCAACCTCTAGTTTCTCACTTTAAAGAAAAATTCAGCTGCTCTATTTATTATTCACACTCCTGTAGGACAGTGTTTTCTGATCTTTTCTAGCTCGAGACCCCTTTAAAGAAGACTAAAGCGTACTTGCAAGTCCTTGACAACAGTTTGATTTCTTAAGCTCAAACATAATGTAATTTTAATGTGTTTTTTCATTTTATTTATAGATGTGAAGTTGAAACAATTCTAATCAGTTGTGTCATTTAATAAGAACACATCCAGGAAGTATGTATAATATAACAACATGGGTATTGAGAAGTTGCAGTTAGTTTTTTATTTATTTTTTTAAGTTTTATGGGATAAAAAAAACACTTGATAATAAAATCATCAGAACAAATAATTATAAATGTGATCATTAGTTGCAGAGACTCCAAAAAGTCAAATGGTGAAAAAATATGACAAAAAAAAAGGGGCAATTGAACCTTCAGCAACTCTGCTGCAGACCTCCAGACTCAAAGTAGAGCAATTATGCTTTTTACCCCCCACTCCATCCATATTTGTATTTTATACTAGAACATTTTTTTACATGACTGTCTGTATAATGGTCATAATAATGCTTATCTCTCCCATACTGCTTCAAAGAGCTTCAAAGCCATCTACTTGTCACTGCTACGCTGATGATACACAGATGTGCTTCTCTGTTGAGACTAACAACCTCAGCAGCCTCGTCTACCTCAGTGAACGATTTGAAAAACATACTAATTGTCACGGTTCTGGGTCTGTTGGACCCAGTATTTTGAGTTTGTTATGTTTTGGTGTAATTTTGCATCATGGATTGTTTTCTTGTTCTCTTGTTGTGATTGTGGTGATGATTATTATTAGAGTTTCATGTTTCTGTTATCCATGTTTTAGGAATTGTATTCATGTATAGTTCAGTTCCATGTGTCGTTTTCTGTCTCTCTGTGTTGAGTCCGTGTCTCTGAGTTGTGATTCATGTTTCCTGTTTTATTGTGAAAGTCTTTGTCTTATGTTAGTGTGTGCAGCTTGGTCCCCCCCGTCTCGTTAGCCCTGATCTCTCCCAGCTGTGTCTCCCTCCTGTTGCCCATTCCCTCATTACTACCCTGTGTATTTAAGCCCTGTGTTTTCCTGGCGCTCTGTGTCGCGTTGTACCCTCAGATCCTGCCTGTGTGTTCCAGTTAGTGTTTTCCTGTTTGGTTTCTGTTTTGTCGGTGCCAGCAATAAAGCTGTGGTTTTCAGTTATATTTCCGTCTCAGAGTCCTGCACTTGGATCCTCATCTCCACCTGCCCGCACACAGAGCCCTGACACTAATATTTACTAATGTTTCAAAATTCCTCAATCTCAGTCCTAGCATAACTGAGCTTGTTGAATGAGGTCAATCATGTGATCGGTCTGCTCATCAGAAATGTCAAATCTTCTGCTAAAACAAAAAAAACCCTTTGTATTATTTTGTCCATTTGAATTTTGCATTCGCTCTTTTTTTCTTTGATCTTAAGCAAAAAACTTTAATGTTCTCATTTAATCCAAAGGTGAGCACACTTTTGAGGTTGTAACTCCTAAACAGTCCTCCAAAGCCCACCAGGTCAGTTAAATCTGTGCGGTTTGTTATTATTTCTAAAACAAGCTGTTTTCACTCCTCTCCCCCAGTCAGCTTTCTTCTGATTGTCTGCCCCCTTTAAAAAATGGGGTTCAAACAGCGGGTGGGGGTATTTGCTGCTGCGCTCACAGACAGCAGAAGCAACTGTGTGAAACAAATGTTTGGAGCAGCTTTTTTGGAGTTCCTTACCAGTGACATTGAGTCCATCTGAGCGCTGACACCAGATCAACGGCCGGGTGGAATTTGGGCCAATGCTGCTGAACCATTTGTAGTCGAAACATTCACCTCCTGAAAGCAAAACACAAAAACAGTCAACAACTGTGAAGGCTGTGCTGAGTCAGGCAGTGGTGACCATTAATCATGAGAGACACCAGATTAATAAAGCAGCTGCTAAGTTGTGGTTGTATAATAGGCTGCTGACACATAATATGACCGTGTCGTCTCAAAAGGGTCCAGTTCAATGTTTTAATCTTCAGTAAGAGCTTTTGCTTAATGACTTTTTATCAGTGCTATTATGACTTTATCAATATCTCCATCAGTGCAGTAAATGACTGTATTTCCCTGCGGAGTCCTGTGTAACCAATCATCAGTCCAGCCAATTCAGCGGGAGTAAATGAACAATTTAACCTTGAACAAAAGACAGAGCTATTCTCCACAGACGTGGGTACAGTATCGCTGCTCCCGTCAGTGGTTCGCCTCTATCTGCCGCCGTACGGGATGAATCCTCTGCGGCTGAGAGGACTTCACCTTTTATGTACTTTACTCTTCTCATTTCTCTCTTTCTTTCTTGCTCCGCTAGAGCTGAAGTCATTTTTCACACGTGTTAAGTTATCATTGAATCACTCACTTCGGCTGGCACTTCCCACCATCTTTTATGAGCAGACTGGAGTTGTACTAACACAGAAACATTTCTCAGGAGAAGCGCAGAAGTTTTTTTTCATCCTTTTTTTTCTGGAGGCAGAAATAATGTCAGTAGTAGTCCCAGATATGAGAATATCTGTAAGAACTGAGAAAGGCGATGGATGATTTTCAGCCATATTAACTGAAAAGAAGAGTAATTACATTCAAGCTTTTTAAACTTTCATATCAAACTGTGCCAATTGCACACATTCACTCTACAGTGGCTGCTAAGCCGCTAAGCGAGGTGCTGTCTGTACCTGGCAAAATCACGGCACCATGGTCACTAATAAGAGGGGAAGTTAATGTCATTCAGGTTTGCTGGGGCGTGCTTTCGGCTGCTCCCTTAATTCCCAGCAGGTCACTAAAGCAGATAGATCCACATATTTGATTTGGCACAGATTTACACCCTCCCACTTATTCAGGGTCGGGGACATCACTTGGAGTACCTTCTTGTGACATCCTGAAACTGGGTTTGTGGTCTCCTCCCACTCTTGAATCAGGCTCTTTGGTGTGCAGTGCAAATGTCTTAACTACAAAAGCATCTTTCAAGCTTGCTGGTTGTGGGCCGTATAAACTCTAGTAACACTTTTAAACCACCATTCATTTTTAATAAATGGATTTTCGTGTTCATAGAACTTTTTTTTTTTACTTCTAATAATGAAATGATGGGCTCCAGCACACCTCTGCTAGCCCGAATTGGAAAAGCAGAACAAAAAATGGATGAATATTTTACACTAATTATTGCTAATGGTAG